TGAAAGGTTTTTATCATCAATACGTGTTGGACTTTATCAAAAGCTTTTTTTGCATCTATTGAGAGGACTATGTGGCTTTTGGTTTTGGCTCTGTTCATGTGGTGTATTGCAGTTATTGATTTCTGTATATTAAACCATCCCTGCATTCTTGGAATGAATCCCACTTGGTCATCATGTATAATCTTGATGATTTGGTGCATTCTATTTGCCAGTATTTTATTGAGAACCTTTGTATCAATGTTCATTAGTGAGATTGGCCTACAGTTCTTTTTGGTTGGGTCTTTCTCTGGTTTTGGTACCAGAGTAATATTTGCCTCCAGGAATGAGTTAGGGAGTATTGCTTCCTTTTCAATTTCATTGAAGAGTTTAAGGAGTATTGGCATCAAATCTTCTCTAAATTTCTTGTAGAATTCAGCCATCAGGACCTGGGCTGTTCTTTGTTGGTAAATCTTTAATGATGTTTCCAATTTCGATAGCTGGTATTGGGTTATTCAAAACTGCTATATCTTCTTGGTTGCGCTTTGGTAGTTCATATGTTTCTAGAAATCTGTCCATTTCCTCTGTGTTTTCCACTCTATGTGAGTAGAGGTTTTCAAAGTAAGTATACATTATCTTTTGAATTTCCATGGGATCTGTAGTAATTTCCCTCTTTTTGGTCCTTATTGCATGAATTTGGGTTTTTTCTTTCTTTTTCTTGATAAGGTTAGCTAGAGGTTTGTCAATTTTATTTATTCGCTCAAAAAATCAGCTTTTTGGTTCATTTTGATTCTTTATTTTTTTAGTTTCAATTGCACCAATTTCTGCTGTATGTTACAATTTCCTCTGTACTATGAGCTTTGGGTTTAACTTGATCATCTTCTTCTAGAAGCTTGAGATGAAGCATTAGGTTGTTTATTTGTGCTCATTTTGTTTTCTTGATCTGATAATTTATTACTATATATTTCCCTCTTATGATTGCTTTCATTGCATCCCACAGATTACAGAATGTTGTTTCTGCATTTTTATTGAATTGTAGGTATTTATTTATTTCTTCAATTTCATCTGTAGCCCACTGGCTTTTCAGAAGATTGTTATTTAATTTCCATGTATTTATGCAGGTTTTGTGATTTCCTTTGCCATTAATTTCCAATTTCAGTGTGCTCTGGTCAGATATAATGCATGGGATAATTTCAATAGCTTTGCAATTACTTAATAATGTTTTATGATATAATATATGATCTATTTTGGAAAATGTCCCATGCACAGCTGAGAAGAATGTGTATTTTGATGTGTTTGGCTGGAATACTCTGCAAACATCTACTAAGTCCAATTGCTGACAGGAATGATTCAGTTCTATTATTTGTTTGCTGACGCTTCGTCTAGTTGAATTATGTCTTTGTGACAATGGGGTGTTAAGGTCCCCTGTTATAATTATGTTCTTGTGTATTTGGTTTTCACGTCCGTTAGTATCTGTCTTATATAGTTGGGTGCTCCGGTATTTGGTGCATATATATTTATAATTGTTAGTTCTTCCTCCTGAATTTTTCCACTAACAAGTATGTAGTGACCTTCTTTATCTCTTTTAATCATTTTAGGTTTGAAGTTCACATTGTCTGCAAATAGAATAGTTACCCTTGTATTTTCTGGGTTCCTGTTGCATGGAATTACTGTTTTCCATCCTTGACTTTTAATCTATGAATTCCTTCTGGGACATATGTGTTTCTAGTATACAAAGTATTGTGGGATCATGTTTCTCAATCCACTCTGTCAACATATTTCTTTTGATAGGTGAATTGATGGCATTTACATTTATAGATATCACTGATATCTACTGGCTTGACTTTGCCATGTTATGTTCCAGTTGTTTGCTTTCTGCTTTTCCTCCTTGTTTAATTGCTTGTCCTGCCTGGTGGTTTCTTTCTGTTGTTATTCTGGGGATTGTGGTCATTTTTATCTCTATCTCATATGTCTTTCAATATTCTTTCTAGGTTGGTTTGGTGAACATGAATTTCTTCAGGTGTTCTTTGTCATGGAAGTATCTTGTTTCTCCATTAAATTTGAATGAAAGTTTTTCTGGGTACATCAGTCTGGGTTGAAAGTTGTTTTCTTTCAGGGCTTGAACTACCTCACTCCAACCTCATCATGACCTAAGGTTTGTTCTGAAAGTCTGCCATGATTCTAATGGGCTTTCCTTGATAGGTGAGTTGTGTCTTTTCTCTATCAGCTTTTAGTATTGTTTTTATGCTGTATGTCTGGGATCTTAATTATTATTCATGGGTATAGATTTATGTCAGTTGTGATTGTTTGGCAGTATATATGCCTCAATTATCTGCATAGCAGATTTTTCTCCATATTGACAAATTTTCTATTACTTCTATAAATAGTTTAGTTATGTCATTTACATTGACTTCTGCATCTTCACTGATGCCTATTAGACATATATTGTTTCTCTTGGCATCATCTTGAAGCTGCTGAATTGTCATTTCATGGTCTTTGTTATTTTTAAAAGTTCTATCCTTTCATGATTGCTAATTGCAATCCTGTCCTCAAGGTCCAAAATTGTATCCTCAGCTTCATTTAAATGGGTTTGCCAGCTTTCAATAGAATTTTTTGTTTCTTGGATGTCTCATTGAGATTGTTTAATGAATTCTGCTTGTTTTCTATATTGTTCATTCAAGGTTTCAGTTTCCTGTGCTCCTGTACTTTTTTATCTATTTCTTTCTAGCTGCACTGAGCAACTCCTTTACTGAGATTGTTATTTCTGTCTTTACATGGGAGATTACTTCTAATTTGATTTCCTCTATAGCCTCATGGAGTTTTTTTTTTTTATTTCACTCGCTATCTTTTCAGAGATTTCTGGTATGTCAATTTTGAAGTCCTCTATTTCAGTGTCTCCTGTACTTGCTCCTGATGGACTAGATATTTGAGATTGCATTTTACTTTTTTGTTTTGCCATTTTCACCTTTCAAGTTAGTATTTGGTCCTTCAGTCCCACTAGTGTCAACTGTTGGTAGTGTGTTTCTTGGGGTCCTACCGTAAGGTTGATGTTTGTCCCGTTGCTTGGTCCCACAATGAAGAGGTGGGACCTCTGATGTTCAGTCACCTGAATTCCCCCTGCAGGACCTGTTGGGTGAGTCCTATATTCTTCCTAGGTTGACAAGCCTAGGAGTATTGATGAAAATCAACCCTTAGTTCCTGCTATTATTATGTCTTCAGGCTGTTCAGAGTCACCAGATCTCCTTGTTCATAGTATTTGTCTTGGCTTGGACTCTACTGGATCTCTGGGTGTCTCGTAGACCCATTTAATGTCCTCCAGGTTGAGGGAGGTCTTATTGGCATGCTCCTCAACCTACCTGATATTCTCTGTGTGGAGGAAGGACTCACCCACCCACTTGCCAAGCTCACCAATGGCCTAATTCTGGAGGGGGCTTTTCTATTGCTCCTGTCTATCCACTGAAGATGGCAAACCCAATTCCTATTTTAGGGGCAAACTCATCTCACTGATGGAAGCCTGAGTTCTTGTTTGGATGAGGGGTTACTGAGTCTCCCCTTGATACTGCATGGTTAATCCACTGCAGTCCAAAGCTCTTGGGGGAATTGTGGGAGCCAAAGATCAACAGCAATCCTAAGTCCAGGAAGTGGGGGGTGGTCCCTGATGGCAGTGGTGGGATTTCAGGGGCACTCATCATGGGCTGGAATTCCTAGGCCCTGAGGTGGTGGGTATCCAGGACTGTGGGAACACAGGAAGGTGTGGTTTTGGCCTGCCCCATCCATGCCACTGGCTGGAGTTCCTGGGTCCTGCAAGATGGTATTCCAGGAAAGCAGGAGTCATGGGAGGGGCACAGTTCCATCCTTGCCCCACACACACCACTGGCTGGAGTTCCTGGGTCCCACATGGTAGGCTGCTGGGACTGGAGTGTCATGGGAGGGGCCTGGGTCTACCCAGCCCCATGAGCCTTACTGGCTAGAATTCCCAGGTCCTGAGAGGTGGTCTGCTGGGATGGCAGGGGTCATGGGAAGGGCCTGGGCCTAGCCCTGCCCCATGTACACCATTGGCTGTAGTTCCTGGGTCGTGTGAGGTGGCCTGCTGAGACAGCCAGGGTCATGGGAGGAGCCTGGGTCTAACCCAGTCCCACATGCACCACTGGCTGGAGTTCTCATGCCCTGTAAGGTGGGCTTATTTGTCTTATTGATACAAGGTCTCACTATGCAGTTCAGGATGCCCTTGAGCTCACCAGGCTGGTCTTGAACTTGCAATGATCCTCCTGTGTCAGCCTCCCAAGTGCTGGGATTACAGACATGTACCATGATATCTGACTGGCACAAGTTTATTTTTAAAAGGTTTTGTTTTTTATTATATATGCTACTCCATATTTTATTGAATTTTATATCTAAGATATGGCATTAATGTACAAAAGAAGTTAATGATTTAGAGATTTTGCTGCCTATAATTCACTAAACATCAAAGTTTTGTTTACATTATCTTGCAGGTATATACATGATGACTCATAGGTTAACACTGTTACAAAACTGTGCAATCACAGGAAAAAACTTGTAGACATACATAGACAGCTAACTCACTCTCTTGAGCTCTGATTTATTCTCTATTTATATTCAATAATTTATATTTTGTATTATTTTCCCACAGTTTTAACTTATCAAGAGCCTCTCTCTCCAAAATCACCCTTTGTATTTCATCTAATTTAAATTTTTTCCAGTTGCTTCATTCAGCCAATATTTACCAAATTTCTGCTAGCTACAAAATCCTAGAGAGGAAAAATTACAATCTTAATTAACCTGTGTCCTTTCCAAGGACTAAAGTAATCCTAGGTAATGCTAGTGACCTTTTCACATCCTACACTTCACATTTGTCTCTTAGTGGGCTAAAGAATTCTTCTTTGCTGATTTTCTTCAGTGAATTTTTAAATAACAACCTTTGAGAACAAGAAAATTCCCAACAATAACAACTAAAATATGGAGATAAATAACAGTAACCACTAAAAATGCAGTACACACAGGTGTTTTACTTTCTGTAAGAGTTTATTGTTGTTTACCCAAAGTACTATCAGTGCTATGAGTTCTTATAATTTGTGATTACACAGACCAATATATGTTCTTAAATTTCATTTTCTTATTAACTATTGGTGATATGCAACATTTTATGCACAATGTTAAATATCATCCACACTTCTTAATCTCAGTTTAATTTAATCTCAGTTAAACTCAGTTTAAGAAAAACAATAATTCACTTGATATTTCCAATATATTTCTGCTCAATTACCAAAGGATTATGTTGAAGGTTTAAAAAGATTTGCTTTCCATATTTATGTTTACATTCCACTAGGATTTACCTTTGAGCACAGAATAGGGTAGGAATCCAGAGTTATTATCCTTATATGAAAAACCCTGCCTTGTCCCATTTATTGAATCATTATCTTATTATGCTTCTTCTGATATACCAAATTTTCATGTAAGTCTCAGCTAATCACTCTGTTCTATACATCTACTTGTACTCTTTTGTGTCTATTTTAGTTTTTAAAAGTAAAAAGCAATAATGTATTATATGGCAAATCCTTTACATTTTACTCTCTGAGATTCTCACAAACATGCTTAATCTGATCTCAAACTTGGAATTCTTCTGCCCCAGCTCTGGAAATAGCTAATAATATAGGCATGTGCCAGTGCACCTGGCTGCAAATTCTGTCACAAATAGTAAGAATTCATCACAAAGTAGTAAATTTTAGCAATGTGAATGTGTTGGTTTTCTAATTTATATGCCAGATAAATGAGGCTAAAAACAATAGTTATTGTTACAAACAGCCTGGGTTGTGAATAAGGGTTACAGAGACACTAACAACCAATTTCAGGCATTTGTATTGTTCATTCCAAGAGACACTAACGCAGTTTTCTTCAAGCTGCCTGGACTGGTTTAGGCCAAGATCTGGTCAGTATGTAGTCTGCCAATGATGTGGGTAAGTAAGACAGAGGAATATAGAAAAATTTTGCATCCCAGCCGCCAGAATATCGAGTACGAGGATGAGCAGAGGTCAGAGCATGTTCCATGCAGTCAGTGACCAGGAATAGGTTTGTGTTACAATTTGACAGCAACTGCTTAACGAAGTCATAATCTGTATACAAAAAGAGAAAAGAGGGTTAGTAATTGTACCTTTATGTTGTCTTTTGTTTTTCTTTTGGGTGAATACTCAGTATTAAATGGAAACTTTTTATAATTTTTATTTTCATTGAGTTATAATTCATATATCATATTATCCAACCACATAGCATGCACAACGAATAATTTTTTGAATACTTCATTTTCTATTACCAAAACCAAAATTCCAGTTTAGAATTGTTTCATCAGCCCCAAAGAAACTGAAAATATACCTCAGTTATAGGTCATGTGCCTTCCATGTACATGGCCCTAGGTTTAAATTCCCATCACAAAAGAAAAGAATATATATTTTTTAAAAATTGTACTCACTAATAGTCATTCTATTGTCTCACCAACCACCAACCAAGGCAACCACTAATTTATTTTTTGTCTCTATAGATTTTCCCTCTCTGAACATTTCATGGCAATCATGTGGTATTCTACCAGGCACAAGCCTACTGTAGTATACACCAGAACTTCACTCTCTTTCATTGCACAAGAACACTCCATTGTGTGGCTATTGTTTTATCTGATGTATGGATTGTTTTTACTTTGGAGCTACTATGAACAATGCTGTTGACAACTATACATTTGACTAAAATCAGATATATATATATATATATATATATATATATATATATATGGTACTTGCTAGGAAAATTTAGCATTCAACTCGATAGGTCATATAAGTCTAAAGCAAACAGTAATGACAAAGTCTAATATAAAAATATAATAATAAATAACTCATATTAGTAGTGTTTATGTAACTGCAGTAGGATATAGTGGATAAAATAAAAACAGTGCTATAATGGTTCACATGTTTCTTTGTCCTCATCTTTTCCCCCTCAATGCCGGAGATCAAACCCAGGCCTAAAAAAGATGCATAAATGATCCACAACTAAGCCATACCTCCATGCTTTTTCTTTTTATGCTTAACATGGCTAAAAAATTTAACATTGCACATGTGGCTCACATTCTATGTCTACTGGACAACACTGATCTAAATATTCTGATCAATGGACAAATACATTAACTATGTCTGATATCTATATATACAGATACAGAGATAGATAGATAGATAGATAGATAGATAGATGATAGATAGATCCCATCATTGATGAATTTAGTCTTTTCTAGTGTTCTACTGATTTCTATTTCAATACTCTGTGGACCCAGAGGGAAGCAAGTTCCCTAGAAGAAGGGAATCTGAGGGGAGGAAGAGCAAATAACAATGGCCAACCTCTGGCAGATTGGAAAACACTTTCCTCTCTAACCAGTATGAGTTCTGAGAGGCACCAGCACTTTCTGCTCAGCCTTTCTTGATCCAACTTCTCACTTCTCTGGTGCTGGTGATCTCTTAGACTGGTATGACCAGAAGACAGCATCTAGGTCAAGAGTTTTCCACAAATGAATCTTCCCTTCCCCTGCTCCTTTTTTCTGAATTTCACTATCTCCCAAAGCCAGGGCCAGGGCTGTCTCTATCACCACAGGGCCTTTTCATGCAAATTTGCCATTTGCTGACTCTGGAAAAACATCACTTCACCTAAGGAGGTATAGCCTTACACCAACGTGGATGACTTACTTCCACTAAGAGAACAGCTTTGACTCCAACCTACACCATCCACTACTTCAAGTAAGCAGAATTATGTTCTTACATGAAATTAAATTATTTCACTCCCACAAGGCTCTGTAACCTTGTATATGAAAAGTGTAGTCCCATGCAAACTGAGTTCTCTCCTCAATTACATCCTTATACCCTGTCACAATTTGTAACCAGGAGAGCAGGCACATTGAAAATTGCACTTCAGTCATGTAGACATCTCATGCCAGTCCTACTGAACACTTAAAGAGATCTGCTGAACACTTGCAAGAGATCCCATAACTCTAAGCATGGAACATCCCTACTGCCCAGAGGGCCAGCCCATATGTGAAATGTGAGGTTAAGGATGGAACTGGCACTGGGTTATCTAGGTGTCTTTCAGCAACAATGAGAGCCAAACCATTAATACTGTCCTTACTGACCCCCTTTGGTCGTGGAAAAGTTTTTTAAGGACTGGTGTTCAGTGTATCTGCAAACCATTTTCCATTAATGCCCTCTTCTTTTGTAGATACAACCATATACTTTTTCCCTATGGGGGGAAAAACTTACAAGCATCAAAATAGTGCTGTCCATAGGATTTCTTAATATGCATGGGTGCTTCATCCCAGGCTTGCTTCGCTCTCTCTAAAGATTGCTGCAAATCTGTCAGTTGTGTTTTGAAGCCACCAGGTTCAATCATGCTGACTTTTACCCCAAAAGCTTTCAGCTCACGCCTGAAATAAATTCATCAAGTTAACTCCATTGATTGAAAGAAACACATGGCCATTTCAATGCTCTCAAGGAGAAAAACAAAAAGCAAATCAAAATGATTATTTAAAAACCTCAACTGAGTATTTCAAAAGATAAAAGAATAGAGAGAGAAACACATGAAAATTTAAACATCCCCAGATTCAACAACTGATGACACCATCAAGCCAACTATCATGATCATTAAATTCTGAATGACTTTACCAAAGAATAAGATACTCACCTGTTCCACACACTGGAGGTGTCATAAATAAAAATTATAATAAAGGAAACAACATTGGTTATTACTAGTACAGTGGTATCTTACACTCGTAATTACACCCTGTTAAAACTCATTTCTTCTCCTAAAAGCTCATAGTGCTTAAGTCTAACAGGGAACCTCACAAGTGCAAACATCACTAACACAAATAGACCAACTAGTCAAAATATCAACAAGAAACTATCAGAGCTGAACTACATCTCCAAACAAATAAATGTAATAGATATCTACAAATGTTCCACCAAACAACAAAGGAGCCCACATTGTTCTCAGCAATACATGAAACTTTCTCCAAAATAGACTATAGAACCCCATAAACCATGCTTAAATTAACATAGTCATAATAACTCCATGCATATCATCAGATCATAGTGCACTGAAACTGGAATCAATGGAAAAGAACAATCACAGAAATAATTGTAAGCATACATACACAGATTAAACAATACACTTTTAAATGATCACTAGATCAGAGACAAAAATCACAGAAGAAGTGGCACAAGCAAAAGTTCTGCACAGTGAACCCCATCCAGCCTTGCAACCTCGGCACCTCACTCAGAACTTGGTAGGACCCAACCCAATGACCCAGTCAGTTGCAGACTTTCGCATAGGTCCCTTGGGGTCTGACTGGATGCCAACCAGTGATCCTGACTGGCTTGGGAATCTCCTACACTCAGTGGCATGAGCTGACGGCCTGCACAGTGAACCCCATCCAGCCGTGCAACCTCAGCACCTCTCTCAAAACCTGGTAAGATTTCACACAGTGACCACAAGCAGCTGTGGAACTTTGGTGCACCACCTGGCATGAGCTGAAGGCCTGAACACTGATACTCCACCTAGCTGTTCAGCCTTTGTATGCCATTCAGAACTATGTAGAGTCCTGTTCAGCCACCTTAAGCAGTCAAGGAGCTTCACAGTACCATGTATGGTGTGCTGAAGGCTCGGCCAGTGTACTTCCCACAACTGAGGAGTCTTCAAGCATCACTAGGAACCTGGTGAGGACTGATTAATGATCTCCACTCAACTGGCAAAACTCCCTGTAGCACTGACAGTTATCCTCAACCCAGGAAGCAACTGAGAACTTGCAAGCAGCTTCTCCAGGGCAATACAGGAAAATGACAAAATAAAAGAGCAAAATGCAATCTCAAACTTCAAGCCTATCCCAAACAAGCCTAGGAGACATGAACATAAAAGAAAATGTAACCCATATACCTGAAATATCTGAAATGATAGAACTGAAGTAAAAACAAACAAACAAACAAAAAAACTTCATGAAGCTATAAAGGAACTCAGATCAGAAATAATCACCCAGGTAAAAAAGAGAATAAAATAAAGGCTGAACACATATAAAGAAGACATAGTTTTAAAACATTGAGGAGCACTGCAAAAACACGGGAAACTTGAATGAACAATGTAAGAAATAGAATGCATGAAACAGATTCAAAGATCTATCCAGAAAATCAAAAATGCCATTGAAAAACAGCAAAACTCCCTGGATGAATGTGAAGATAGACTTTCAGAGCTCAAAGACAAAACTGCAGCTAGTGAACAGGAAAGGAAAGATCTTTTTAAACATAAAAGGAATCAGAAAGTAACAAGTCTACAGTTGGAAGATGATGCAAAGAAAAACAGTATAAAATTGATAGGTTTAAATGAAAAAGAAAGTGATAGCAAAAATGATATCAAAAGACTATTTACAGAGTAATAACTGAAAATTTCCAACCATGGGGAAACTGACATGCAGATAAGAGAAGCATATTGAACTCCAAATAGCCATAAACCAAAAATAATCCAGACATAAAATAATCAACATCTCAGAAGTTTCACATAAGAACAGAATATTAAAAGCTGTTACAGAGAATTGGGGCTGGAGATTTAGCTCAGTGGCATAAGCATTTGCCTTGCAAACACACAGTTGTGAGTTCAATCCCTGATACAAAGGGGGGAAAAGCTGTTACAGAGAAGACACAGATCACCTATAAAGGAAAGCCCATCAGAATCACAGTAAATTTCTCAACGCAAACAGTGAAGTCAAGAAGAGCACGGAGTGAAGTATTTCAAATCCTAAAGGATAATGACTTCCAACCCAGATTGATGTACCCTTAAAAATTGTCCTTGAAAATTGATGGAGAAATAAGATACCTCCAAGACAAAGAACAGTTGAAAAATTTCATGAGCACCAAACCAATCAGGCAAAAAATAAATATTAAACATATTTTAGGTAGACATAAAAATAACTATGACTTCAAGAACACCAACAAAAAAATCATTAAGCAAGGCAAACAATTAAACAGAGGTAAAAGGTAAAGAACTAAGAGCAGAAATATAACATGGCAAAAATAAACAAATTTATACCTGTTACAGTGACTAATGTAAATGGCTTAGATTCATCCATTTGAAAAGAAGAGAGTAGCAAAATGGATCAAGAAACAGCATCCAACCATATGCTGTATAAAAGAAACCCATCTAACCCAAAAGGAAATTCGTACACTGAAAGACAAAGGATGGAAAACAATATGTCACGCCACAGAGAAAAGCAAGGGTGGCTATTCTGTTTGCAGACAATGTGAACCTCAAAGCAAGAATGATCACAAGAGATAAAAAAGGTCACTACATACTAGTTAGTGAAGTTAGAAAACTTCAATGGGAAGACGTAACAGTCCTAAATATGTATGCACCAAATACAGGAGCATCCAGCTATATAAAAGAAACATTAAGAGAAATGAAAACTCAAATAAGCAATAAAAAAATTATAACAGGAGACCTTAACACTCCATTTACATTAAGAGACAGATCAACTAGAAAGAAAATCAGTAAAGAAATAACAGATTGAATCAAAATGTGAACAAATAGACTTGGTGGACATGTACAGAGCGTTCCACTCAACAACATCAGAATATACATTTCTTTCAGCTACACAAGGGGCATTCTCTGAAATAGACCATATACTAACCCATAGAACATGCTTAAGTAAATACAAAAAAATCAAAATTATTCCATGTATATTATCTGATCATAGTGCCATAATTAATGACAAATTAAATTAATGACAAAAGAAACTGCAAAAACTCCATAAGCACATGGAAATTAAATAATACACTTCTGAGAAATCAGTGGGTCACAGAGGAAATTAAAGAAGAAATTGAATAATATCTAAAAGCAAACAAAAATACAAATGCAACTTTACTGGACCTTCTGGGATGCAATGAAAGCAGTCCTCAGAAAGAAATTTATTGTGGTGAATTCCCACATCAGGAAAACAGAACGAACACAGATAAACAATGTGATGCTACCCCTCAAACATCTAGAAAAGAAGAGCGAGTCAAGCCCAAATGCAAAAGAAGGGCAAAAATTATAAAAATCAGAGCAGAAATCAACACAAGAGAGACTAAGAAAACAACACAAAGAATTGGTTCTTAGACTTAATGCCAACACTCCTCAAATTCTTCAGTGAAACTGAAAGGGAAGCAATTCTCCCTAACTCATTCCAGGAAGTAAACATTACTCTAATACCAAAACCAGATATAGGCCCAACCAAAAAAGAGAACCACAGGCTAATCTCCTTAATGAACATAGATGCAGAATTTCTCAATAAAATACTGGCCAACAGAATGTAGAAAAACAAGATCATATACCACAACCAAGTAGGATTCATCCCACGAATGCAGGAATGGTTTGATATATGCAAATCAATAAGTGTAATACATCACAATCAATAGAGCCAAACATAAAAATCACACAATCATTTCAGTAGATGTAGAAGAAGATTTGATAAGGTCCAACACTCATTCATGATAAGAACCTTACAGAAAATAGGAATAGATGGTCTTTACCTCAATCTGATACAGTTATCTATGACAAACCAACAGCCAGTATTATATTAAATGGCCAAAAATTGAAATCCTTTACTCTAAAACCAGGAACAAGAGAAGGACATCCATTATGACCACTCCTATTCAATATAGTGTTGGAAATATTATCCAGAGCAGTTAGACAAGAGAGAAAAGTAAAAGGAATAAGGATAGGAAAATAAGAAGTTAAATTATCATTATTTGCAGATCATATGCTATTCTACATAGAAGAACTCCACAACTCCTTGAAAGAATTCTAAGTATAGTTAGCAAATTGTATAATGTAGCTGTATACAAAGTCAACATTCAAAAATCAATAGCATTCCTATACACAAACAAAAAAACTGAGTGAGAAATAAGAGAAACCACGTCCTTCACAATAGCACCCAAAAAATGAAATACTTAGGAATCAATCTAACAAAAGAAGTAGAAGATCTGGATTTCTGGGAAGATGGCAGAGCAGCAGAATAAGTAGCATCTCTGAGAGAAACAGCCCAGGTGCTGGAATAGAGCAATCTGGAGAAGACCAGAAGGAAAGAAATCAGTGCCTTTAACCCAGGAAGAAACTAAAGTGAAAATAGAAGCATGAAAAGAGAATTTTTTAAAACACAGAGAGAGAAAAAAAACTTAAACAGAAGGCAGTAGCCAGAGATGCCTTCACCAGAGCTGTTCCCACTGGAATCTGATATACAGTGAAGCAGGTGGCTGGCAAGCCTGAAGGCCTCAATGGGATGACATGGTTGTGGAGGGAAACAATGGACCAGAAAACTGCATTGGCTGGTGGTGAGTGTGGGGGGCTCAGATCTCCTGTGGGAGTGCCATTTTCGAGTCAGGCAGGATAAGCCCAGAAGCTTCT